CGCTGGAACTGAGTGCTGATGAAGAGTTGGAGCTGCAGCCTTCAACCTCTCAAAGAGAAGAAAAAAGTACCCTTAAGGCACAGTGAGAATTCATAAGCTGTAAGTGCTGGAAACATAGAGCTTTTGATAGAAGTATATTCATAAAATGGGCACTTTTCTGTATAGTTCTGTAACCCTAATAACAGGCTGCGTGTCGCCAACATCTGACTGACACACACGATTTCCTTTTAAACCATATAAAAATATCAAAAATTATACACTTCCTCGCAACATCACAACAGAAAACACATGTCTGCGACGCTCATAAGTGCCTGGAGAGCTTATAGCGCTTACAAAGTGATCAAAGTATGGCTGGGGTTTTATCCCAGGAATTAGAACTAGCCATGAATGGGTTAAGATGGCCGGGAGGGTCTGGAAGGGATGGTCCTCTTTGAAGCCTTCTTTGTACAGCAGGTGCTTAGAAGTGATAGATCAGGCTTGTTCAATAATAACCAATCAAAAGTCTAGTAACCCATGGCAACTGATTGATTCATCTTTCACAGACTGGACTTTGGAAAACTGGAATCCAGTTCCAGTTGGTTGCTATGTGTTCCTGCCCTTCAAGCCGGTGGACAAATGAATATGAAATTCAGGAGCCAGCAGGATTTTTTTTTTAAGGGGCCTGCTCAATTGACAACAACTAGAGAAAACCTCTAAAGTTAGGTGCCAGCTGTCATTCTTCAAGGAGCATTGACGACCTGGCTCCTAGGATGTGTCCAGCCCTGCCTTTGAACGTCAAAAATGCTCTTTGCACTGTTGTGTTCAACAAACGGGTGTCTGGGTGATACAGATCATAAACCATGTAGGTCAAAAGACTATGCTATATTATCTGTGTGTGTCATGGCGTGCTGGCAATACCGGTGTCTGCCGTTAAAGTGTCTTAAAGAATGAACGGCGTCTCTCTCGGGGAGCCATGAATGAGCTCCATAAACTGATCAGGCTGTTATTGGGACTCATGATCTTACTATAGTAGCTCATTGCTGACCACTCTCATGCTTGCTTGACAAACACTTCTATTGCACTTCACAAAGTTTGGTGCCCGGTCACAGATGGGTGGTGTGTTGTTAGGATCCTGGATCTGATTTCATGACCAGCATCTGGGTGCAGCAGGTAATTAGCATATTACATCCTATCTCCAGGGGGGGGGGGGGAAGCCTTTTCCTTCCCTGATCCCCGCTCCCTAAGCCTTCAAGACCGATGCCCGCAGCTTCTTCCGCCCCTGTGCTCTGGCTGGCCTGCTGACGTTATCACTTAGGTTCCATTCATATATAGGGTTTTGCGTTTCCCGCGCGGGCCGAAAACGCTAAAATTTTTCATCTGCATGGATTCCGCTCGTTTGCAGCTATTCTATAGCCACAAATATGCAGAATCCGCCATATTATCGCGCTTGTATTATTTTGCGGGCTGTTTCAAAAAAGTCCGATCAATGCACATTAAAGTACATTGTTTTTTTGTTTAGATCGGCTCTGCACGTATTAGGCCGGCTGAATACGTGTGGACAACCGTTCCTGTGTGAATGGAGCCTTACAATGCAATGTGATAGCCTAGCAATATACGTGAGGACGCTGAAGGACCGTCGCCAAGCCAGAGCGTAGAGGAGATGACGGGAGCGCAGACTGTCGGAGCAGCGGGGATCAGGTAAGTAAAACTGCTTTGCACAGGTCCCCTAGACCTCAATGCACACTTAACCCTTGCCGTGTGGGGATAGCCCAACTGCAGGGGGTGTTAGGCTTTAAAGCATATGTAAACCCAATCACTAAAATCTCATTAAAAAAAGCTTTAAATGTTCATTTCAAAAGCCAATTTAACATGTTTTTCATATCTGCACTTTCATTAAAAAAATAATACCAAGTGATCCCGCCATGAAAGTTCTTGTTCAGGCACTTCCAGTAATAGGGTGACAATGCTCTGTCACCTGACTGTACTCCTTCAGTCCACGTTCACACCTAGGTGTTTTGTCCCTTAAATCTAAGCGTGACAAAGCGCTTAAGACAGGAATCCCATTCATTTCTATGGTCCCAGTTCACACCTGAGCATTTTGCCGCTTGTTTTGTTGCACAAAGTTTCCCATTGAAGTCTATGGGACCAAAAAGCGCTGTAATCTGCCAAAAAGTAGCTCATGTATGTTTTTCCAGTGACAGGCTGCTTGGGACAAACATTCAGGTGTGCACAGGGGCCACAGAAATGACTGGGATTCCTTTGTTTTGAGCATTTTGTCGTGCTTAGCTTTGAGCGACAAAAATCACTCGATTCCCCCATCCACACTAAGGAGCGTGAATGGGTAAATTCCCCCTGCCGGGCTATTGTGTTCTTAAAGCCAGCGCCCGCCACTGTCAGAATACCCCAACAGTAACTACAGCTGATTGGCTATAGTCACTGTTCAGCCAACAATTTTCCATTTGGCAAACTACTTTTCTTGAGCTGGTTGGTACCTTCTGGGCCACCTACGGAATTTCAGCTGGAAACCGATGAATTCTGATCCATGGTGTTTAAGCCAGCTTTATTCTGTCACATGGGTGTTCAAGGTAGACCACAAGAGGCCATATGAGCATACATTGGGCAGATGTGGTCGACTGTTGTCACCATCAACCTGCCACGAGAAATACCATAGTCATCACTGTAGTGCATGTAGACAGGAAGTGGCTCTAAGAAGTTGCAAGAGATCAGCAGCATTGAGATACAATAAAGGATAAAAAAAATGTATCAGCAAGTAGTTCATGAAAGCATTTCTGTAAAAATGGCAATGGTTCGTGCTGGTTCGTGGGTCTGGATCTTCTTTAACCCCCTAAACATAAGGGCAGGACATTGAGAAAAGGGAGGTCCCCTGTATGAATTGATGGGGTGTAAATGGTACACGGTAACTCATATTCCTTTTTTTTTTTTTTTACAGCAAAGGAGCGGCAGGCTGGGAGAGGCGACATGGCTGAGTTGGCAGCATTTCCATGCGGTATCACTGCAGACAGTACTAAATAATGATGACAAGGAATGCAACAAGTCATTTCTACAGCACATTATACCACTCCTCCAAACTTCCTGCAAATCTTACGAAAGGATGTTTAATGAGCACACAGATGAAAGCTGACCACGGCCAAAGGATGCCGATTGATCATTCCTTCCGAAAAGTCTGATTCAGACAGCTCAATAAGCATCGCAGACACAACTGACCGCTACTGGGCGACCGACTGTCACTAATGGCAAAAGTCACACACAAAAAAATATGTCCCCCAGCTTCCGGTCTGGTGCTCCTGCCTTTATTTCTGATAGGTATGGTCTACCCATGCCGATTGTTCATCATCGCAGAACTTTCACATATACATTAGATTCGTGTCTTTGAATCGACCATGGTCAGCTGGAATTTTAAAATATGTCTGATATATTTTTGTACCAAAGCTGATCGTTTGCTGCGGTCATTCCTGCATCATAAATAGGCAGACACTCAAACAATCAGGTCTAATGCTGTCTATGTCAGAGGATGTACATCTCATGTCTATGACTAGTGGGGGGTGCCGAGACACAATGGCATGTGATGCAGAGCTGCCAACTTTATCATTCCCGGGGACGCCCTTCCCATATAGATATTACATTACATTCCCGGGGGACGCATTACAAACCGCCCCAGGTACTATATTGGATTATATGCTTTCCATATTTATAAACAGCTAAGTCAACATAAACAGAAAGCAATTATGAAGGGGCATAGTTATAAAAGAGCAAATCATCAATTAGCCGGTCATTCGCCAGTTTGATCGTTCAACTCTCCTGATTGGGTCGCATTCACCGTACTTCTAGATTTCCTATTCTCCAATGGCACATCCTTAATAATCGCTTGTCATGGAGGCGAATGTTATAGCCACAGGGCCCAATCTACCATATGACATTTGGAGAGGATAATTCGTAGATATCAAGGATTCGCCATGCTTTCTCCCACATGTGCCAGAGATCAGACACTCCGCCAGTTAGGATTTATACCTTACAAAAAAAGATCTCCATTTGCTATGTCAGGCGAATGTGTCTAGATTCACTCAGTTTTGACATGTGGCATCAATGTACAAATTCTAGCAAAAAAATAGGATCTGTGAAGTTGAACCCAAAGACCTCTTTTAGGGTCGGTTCACACCAGCTGTGTTGGGGCTGCGCATTGCACCCCACGGTGTGCCCGTAGAACGTAATGAAATGTCACCTGTGCCATTTCTTTAAAGTTCCAACAAAAAAAGTGTGATGCGTCTCCATCGAGCACATTGGCACTGTCCGGGCACACGCAGCCAGCAGCTGTGCGGTGGAGTGCAGATGTTCATGTGAACAAACCCTAAATGATGGAGTGGTTTAGTGGTTGGCACTTCTGCCTTGCCGAAGTGTTCATGGTTAAAATTCTGGACAGCACACTTTCTCCCTGTGCTTGAGTGGGTTTCCTCCCACACCCCAAAGTCATGCTGACAGGTCCACTGGCTTCTGTCTATAATGGACCGATTATGTATTTATGTGAGATAGGGGCCTTAGATTGTAAGCTCCTTGAGTTCAGGGACTGGTGTGAATGTACAGTATATAAAGCACTGTCATTTGTCATGCTATATAACTGTCTATCATTATAAGCTGCCATTCACACTTAAAGGCGCTGCCCTATCCACAACAAATGCAGCAAAGAAGCTCATGTGCCTTTCAGATCTTAGTGTGCCTCTTGCTTGGCACATTTGGGTTGCCGTTAACAACGAAGTGACACAAGCTTTTTGCACATGCATACAAAATCTACACTAATGTGAATGCAGGCTTCTATGCTTCCAGTGACAAATCAAGAACCTGACTCTGTCCATGCAAACCAGGATGCAGCCAGAGTGCCCTGAGTGAGCGGCGGCACTGATCGCACATCCACAGTCCCGGTGCCCTCAGCCTCGATCACTTCATAAAGCCATGGAAGCAGTTGGCGAACTTTGACGCCCCGCCCCCCATCCCCGGGTCCCGCTTACCTTGCACGAGTAGGTGTGCTGTACCGGGTCCACATTGAGGATCTCCTCCACCGTCCCGGTCAGCACGATGTTCGCCTCCTCCTCCCGCTTCTCCAGCTCTCTCTCGGGACAAAGTCCCCGGCTCATCCCCAGGCACACGGCCACCAGCACCGCTAGAGTCCACAGAGGCATGCTCCTCCACCTTGTGCCCATGTCCAGGAGAAGGGTAGAGGATAGGACGGAGATGAGGGCTTTCCCCTGGCTCTGTCGCGGCTACAGCGAAGAGAACCTTATCCAGCGAGTCCGGGAGAGAAGACAAACCCACCCAGGAGGAGGAGGAGGAGGAGGGAGGGGGGCCGGTGGGAGCTCCTCTTCAGCAGGGCTGCGGGGGATTTGCATGCAATCTGAATTGCTGATAAGCACCAAGGAAGGTGGAGG